CAGCCTTGTTGTGATTGGCTGCAAACCACCCGATCGCGCGATTCGCAGGCCAGAAAACAAACGCGTTTGTTTTTGTAGGTCACTGATTGCGTCGATCGGTTTGTGCCACGATGGCCGCCCTCAATTTGGCTAGCCCTGACTACCCGATGGGCCCGACCCGGCCCGACCCGACCCGATCGCGTATGTGGGCACCCCCTATTAGAATTACAAAGTTTTATTATAGCTCACATTTTTGGGGCCGTTTTGAGTTACTATAACTATGCGATCAGACACCAATAAATCTTCTCTCTGCTCTGTCAGAAGTGTAAGAGTATTTAGAGTCGTTATAAGGACATTTTAAAAATTGCTTTCGAAAAGTTTTTTTAGTTTTATTAAGAGTTTTACGGCCCTTGCACAACAATAAGGTCATATAAAGGCCGATGATTTGACGTGTTACATGAGAGCAACAAACACAAAAAAGGGCTCGTGGCCTAGAGGTTAAGGCGTTGGCCTCTCATTCAAAGGTCCCAGGTTCAAATCCGGGTTGCGACATAAAAAAATTTTCTTCTCTAAAATAGTCTCCTTTCACCTCCTCTCCTGCTCTCTAGCAATGTTCTGTTGTCTGCTTTCGTCTGCTCTTTCTGCCCCCACTCCCTCTCCTCCTTTGCCCCTTCCTCTGGGCTCCTGACTCTTTCTGCAGCCTTTCTACTGCTACCCCCTGGCTCCTTACTGCTGTCTTTCAGCCACAACCCTGGTCTTCTGGTAGGAAAGATCTACACCTAGCCTTCCCGGACAAGGGCGAAAAATCTCGGCGGGTTCGTGTGCAAGTTGCGCACGTTAAAGATCTCTTGGTGGTCTAAAATCGATAAGAGTAGGCTTCGGCCGCCACCCGCGCAAAATTCTAAATTTCCTACCAACTGAAAAAGTTTCATGTGTCACGCGCGCTCATATGACTTTATGCAGTTGAGAGTGCCGTAAAACACACACGAACAAAAAAGGGTAACGTTGCTGCATAATTCAATCATCACTGTCGTTAGCAGTGTTTTCAAAGGTTCCACGTACTCCTGATGGTTTTCCGTGCGAAAGATGACTGTTTAAAATGAAACATAATGTTATACAGACTGTTTTGTTACGTTTTGATTTCAAGTAATACAATACCCGGATCATGTGGTTCATTCAACAGGGAATTCTCTAAGGGCCATTCCAAATAAACTGACTCTTAATTTTACTCCATGTTTTCTGACTAACCACTGGTACGACTGCTCTAAACAAAAGTAAAGTTTAACGCAGGTTATTAACGTTGATAATTGAGACGAGTCAAATTTTATTTTCTTGTCAGCTGAAAGTTTTACGAAGTTCAAACAAATACTCGCTTTACTATGTTAACAAAAATATTTACTAAAAAGAAATTAAGTTAAACTTTTGAAACGTCTGATGGATTTGTTGCAAAAATTTTTTTTGCTGTCATAAGGATGGCTTTGGACGTGTTAGGTTTTGGGGTCACCAAAAATGTCAAAGAAGTTGAATTTCCCACAAGCAGTCTTGTTTTGGCAATGTGTTCACGAAGCAATTTTACGAACGAATGATAGCACATTTGCAGCGAGGGGAAAAGTATAAGTTATCCACGGGTGGCTCGTGGGGCTAAAAAGTGGGCGTGCACAATTAAGCAATACCAGGTTGAAGATAGTCAAGGGCATAGTAAATGGAATGGTAGGATCTTTGGGTTGGTGAAGGAGGACCTCATGCTTTTATGTTCATTCTTTTTACTTGTCGCTTTCATTTTCTTAGCTAAACATCCATTTCTTTATCCTGCTTTGGAACGTAAGGATGTCACGTTCATCTCCCTCAGATTCACGGTCACAGAATCACGTAAAATAATGGCAAGACAATGAACCAATCACAATTCACTTGAACACTCCGCTGGATTGCTCTGGGAATCACATAATTTTGGCAAAGAATAATAGTGTACAGTCTATCGTTTTTATTTTAAGACAGTCTATTTTGGGCTATGTCTCGAGGGTGCACATTTGAAATGATATTATTATTAGTATCAATGTACCGCCAAATTTGCTACGGGTGTCGTCATGGCGTGGGTTATCCCAAAGAGTGATTTATAGGTCAGGTTGCCACTGTTTAATATTATCCTATTATATTTAGTTAAAGCGTGAAGACTTTGGTATGACATAGTAGATGTTTTACGGCGTTTTTGACACTATGAGTGACAGTTACAGCGCCCGAGAGAACTTTGTTTTGATACTATATTTGGCTAGTGTTTGTTTCTGGCTTCTTTTATTTCATGTTCGTGGGTGATGTTCGCAATAGTAATAGAATATTAAACAACGTTGGTGTGGCACTGCACGACCGTGCTCTATGGACGAACCGGGCCTGAAGTTATACTTCCGAGTCACTATTTAATTTACTCAAATATGTGTTAAAAGTCGGAAAACATTTTAAAGCATGAAATTAGAGCTCTGTTGTTGGGCTTTAATGCTAGGAAAAATCAGATTCGATTACTAAGCTGTAACAACAACCAAAACAACAAATATTATCAAATTATCACTTTCCTTCTAGGAAACAAACATACATTTTGAGGAATTCTTGCAGTGTTTTTCAATGGTAAAATGCAAGAACATATTATTTTTCAAACGAGAACTTCGAAATGTGCAACAATGAAACAACATTTTCGGTGGCCAAGAGAATAGGATCTCAGGCTCCCAACCGTAAGGACATGGGTTCGAATCCTCCCATTCTACTGCATTTACAACAAAAAATTAGATCACTTAATTTCAAAAGATTAGAGGTGTTGCAAGAGAGTCTTCTTCTTTTTCTATCCCATGGTTGGGGCAACCATGGGGGGCACCACTGCATCTAAAAACCAGCTCTCGCCATTTATCTTTGCCCTCTGCTTTCCTCAGATTGTCACCTATCGTCTTTCCTGTCCACTTTGTAATGGTGTCCTCCCATCTCCTTCTTTGTCTTCCTCTCTTTCTCTTTCCGTGTACGATTTCTTGTAGTATTGTTTTGGCAAGTCCTGTGGATGTTGTGACATGCCCATACTATTTTAATTTTCGTCTCCTCACTCTGGTCAGTAGATCTTGGAAGTGGTTATTCCGACCCCGAATGAGAATAACCTACGTCTCGCTATTCTCACCCCTTCCCTTGTTTAACCGGAAATGACCCAAGAGGGATCAGAGCTGAGCTTAACGGGGCTAATGCTCCACAGGGTCGTGTTGGTGTCCAAATAGACATACATCTAGATTTAGTCAAAATGAGGGTTGTCAAATTGGAGCCAAATCCCAGAAATTTGTCTCTTTTGGATCGCGTCTGGCCCGGAAAATTTCATTTGGCTCTGGCTCTTTTTTTTTTTTTTTTTTTTGCTCAAAACTCCAAATGTTGAAGAAGAAGGAGACAGAAGAGGCAAGAAAAGGAAAAGAAAAAGATAGTATAAAAGAAAAAACATGAAAGTGAAGAAAAGAGCTTGGAGTGTTTAAAACTATTAAACTAGTTAACACGATTTAACGCCCTCGTCCATTTGGTCTGAATAATTTACAACCCTTCAACCGTCGAGCGAGAGCATGGTCTCGAGCTCCTATCTCGTTGCGTTCATACATGCTCTCTGTTCCTGGAACCATAATGTATTGTGTGTAGAGAGGCCTGCCATCGTTAAGAGTGTAAACAACGAATGGTGCGGCCGGTCCCACATCCCGACCAGTGTCGGTAGTGAGCTTTTATTTTACTGGAGAGGCGAAAAATGTTTTTACATTATTATTATTCGTTCCTTACCACATTCAGTAAGCCACCAAGGGCTCAGGTGATTTTATCGGCCTGCGAGAGATCAGGAGGGAGTTCTCGCCTCATTCATGCCCACACCGGGTGGGAGCTATTCACACCGGGGGGAGGGGGGGAGGGGTGAGAATAGCGAGACATGGGGGTTATTCTCGGGTGAGAATAAAGGTGGCCGTTGGATCTTCATGCTGCCCCACTGCGTGGGTGATTCTGCTCCGCATCTCAGCATGTGAAACGTGGTCTTTGTATGAGATGTCAAAGAGTCCGCAAGAGAGTAACAAACGCAAAAAAATATAATATATACACACAAAGGGAGGAGAGATTAAGACGCGACGCGATAGACGTTTGATATAAACGAAGGAGCAAACCACACTAGAGCACCCAGTTCTAGGGCTGGATCCTGCTCGCCAAATTTGAGAGTGGCGATTCGCGATTCAGTCGGCTTCAATGAATCGCGAGTACGCGAGCGCTCGTGGAGCTGTGGCAGAACACTGACTGAAACGGAACAGTGTCATGTCAACGCCACTTGGCGAGCGTGAGTCCCACTCTTGTTGTTCCGCCATCCTCTCCGCCCCACACCCTTTGTTGCGCTGCTCTATAAACTGACCTCAATTAGTGACCCCCATAAATTACCCCCCCCCCCCAAACCCCACCATTCGCTACAAAAAATGGCTCCATAAAATTCTTTCTGTCTATTGGTTGGACCCCGTTCATTTAGTTTTAATAGGGGGATTGGACTATACCATCTTTTGTAAAATAAGCTAAGTGTTCCGTTCCTTTCTTGCGCTCGTGACTCTACTCAGCAGTAGGTTAAACAAGCCACAAGGTGGTGACAGCGACAGGGGAGTGAATCGGGAATCGTTTGGCGATACTGTTCCACGTTCCGCTGAAGTGAACCGTGAATCGCGTTCCGCAGGAAAGAGTGGCGACTCAGTTACGTTCTCGCGCTCGTGACCCAGCCCTAGCACCCACCACCCACCTACATGGTCATCATTATCATCCGGTGCCTTGCCGAATGGCATGGGCGATCATGGACCTCCACTTCACTCTGTCTTGCGCTGCAGCAATGGTGGCTGTTGTTCTTGCTGCTCCTAGCCATGTTGTCATCTTGTCCAGTACCTTTTCCCTCTGTCTGCCTCTGCCTCTCTTTCCATCAAACTTGCCTGTTGTTACAATGTTTTCTAATGCTTTTTTCCGCATTGTGTGTCCGAAGAAATTACCTACGTGGTACTCACCTCTGAATGTTGCTCCGTAGCTGTAGTTAGCCAGGAGAGCCCCGCGGGTTATGGGGATACCCATAGAGAGGCTCATGTTAAAGGCTCCAGCTATGGCGTAGATACCGTCCGATACGAGGAGAGGGTGGATTCCTTTCTGAAAGCGGCGTAAAAACAGTGCTTTGGTAGGGGTTTTGCTTGGTTGAGGGTGGATGTGGAGGGGAAAGGGAAGGGGGAGACGACAGGGACTGTTAAGGGAAGAGAGAGAGAGTGAGAGAGAGAGAGAGAGAGAGAGAGAGAGAGAGAGAGAGAGAGAGAGAGAGAGAGAGAGAGTGAGAGACAGACAGACAGGCAGAGAAAGACAGAGAGATAAAGAGAGAGAGAGAGACAGAGAGAGAGAGAGAGAGAGACAGAGACAGAGAGAGAGAGAGAGAGAGAGAGAGAAAGAGAGAGAGACAGAGAGGAACACAGAGAGATAAAAGGAGAGACAAAGAGAAAGAGAAAGAGAAAGAAAGAGAGAGAGAGAGGGAGAGAGAGAGAGAGAGAGAGAGAGAGAGAGAGAGAGAGAGAGAGAGAGAAAGAAAGAAAGAAAGAGCAAGCGAAGGTGCGAACGAAAGAAAGAAAGGCAGAAAGAAAAAAAGATAAAAAGAAGGAAAGAAAGAAAGACAAACAGACAGACAAAAAGACAGAAAGAGAGAAAGAAAAAGAAAGAAAGAAAGAAAAAGAGAAAGAAAGGAAAAAGAACAACCACCCAGTAGGAACAGAGGAGATAACCAGAGACAACTCACAAACCTCATAGTTGGAACATGACGTGTTATTCGGGCGGGGGGGGCCCACGGCCCCGAGGTTTCTTTTTCAAGATTTCGGGGATTTTTCCTTTTCCTTTCTACCGTTATCGGTATGTTTTTTTAACCCGGAAAAATATTGTTTGGGAAATATTCTACACATCGTCCCTTCAGTTTGCGGTTTTATTGATAATAAAATGGCTGCATGCAAGGGATAAACGTGTGTGTGTGTGTTTGGGGGGGGGGGGGGGGGCATTTAGGATGTTATGCTTTGTGTCTGTTTAGTAAAATCTTTTTGTCAACAATTTTTTTCATGAATTATTATCATCATCATCATCATCATCATTATTGTTTAAAAAGCAGAGCTTTACAGACAAAAATATAAATATAAAATGTTAAAAATGTGTTTTATTGAATCGGCGAGACGTTTTACCAGGTAAGCTTCCTCAGGAGCAATCATATCACCATCATCATTATCAACAACAACAACAAGAACAGAAATCCAAAAGCAATAGCAATCTAGTACAAAATCACAAGAGGAGGGACAAGCAAATGAAGAAATAATTATATTCAAGGACAAAGTAAAAAAGAAAAATTAAAAATCTAAATGCCACCATACACCAAGACTGGGAACAAAACGTACAATTGATCAAGAAAAAACAAAACAAAAGAAAAGCAACAAAAAACAAACAAACAAACAAAACAAACAAACAAAACAAACAACAAACAGATGCATGATAAGAATGTGAAAAAAGCACAAAAATGAATTAATAAAAGCAATAATATTAACAGAAACCAAAAAATAAAGCAATCAAGCAAACCAGGGGCGAAGGCTAACTTGTTTGACAGGGTAATCAAAGTGAAACGGGACCAGATATGGCCTGGGGATATCACACAAGAACCTTGCTCGAGGCGGCGACTCAGAGTTGTGAATGAAAACAAATCCGGAATTCATTATTGTATGTTCAACCGCCAAAATAATCGGGAAAGTATCTAATTAAATATCAATTCCAACTAAAATTAAATTTAACTTTAGATGTGAATACACAAACACAAAGCAAAGAAGCAGAGATGTCAGTACTAGATCTATGTTATAGATCTACCAGGGAGTCTAACTCCTTGGTAGAACATGACAATTATAATTTTTTTAATTTCACATTTGGCTGTTTTTTGTCTAGCCTTTCGCGGCCACGAGCCTGTGTCATAATCGAGGTCACGATCTGATTATAGGGCAGTAAAAAGTAGAGGAGAAAAAAAGAGCACTTGAAGCAGTCGAGAGATTAATAGGAGCTAGTTCCCCTCACATCTGTGAGGTAGACTCGACCAGTGTAATAGTTAGCCTACCTAATCAGTTCTTCAGACTAATTATAACTGTGGCCCGAAAGGGGTGAACAGGGTATATGTGGCAATGAAACAGTTTCGACCATTATGCATATGTTCCCTTCAACTCTGTTGGAAGACTCTTCCAGTCTCACTTTAAGCTTACTTAATCAAAGCTTGTGACTGCTTATGGAGTGGCCCAAGAGGGGTGACAGGCTATTTCTGTGGCAATGAAACCGTTTATAATGTTAGGCATACTGTTCATTATTGATTATGAACGTCTTTTTACATTTAATTTATGAAGTATGCGTTTATGGGTGAATTTGACTGCGACAAGGTTTCAAAATTAGGAAGGGAAGCAGTGATTATTTGATTATATAGACCCTTCGCCTCTGAAGAAAACAAGGAATCGATCAGTCAATTACCAAATAAATAAATAAATAAATAAATAGATCGTCCATACCATCAAGGAATGTCAGATCCCCCGTGTGGGCGGAGCTCCCGGCGTAGTCCACTGACAGGAAGGCGTACCGTCCGTCTCTAAGCCCCGCCCTGTCTGCCTGTCGCATAAACTCCAACATGGCGTCAGAGTACATGAGCAAGACAAACACTGAAAAGGGGGGGGGCGGTGGAGGGGGAAGGGTGGGAGAGGGAAGGGGGGAGGGGAGGTGAGTTCGGGAATGGTGGGGAGAAGAGGGGAGAGATGGGAAGGGAAGGGACGGAGCGGGAGAGGAGGGTGGTGGAGGTTATAAGAGGAGAGAAGAGATTATAAGAGAAGAGAGGAGGGGGAGGGGAGAGGAGAGGAAATTTTTATTATCATTATTATTATTATTATTATTATTATTATTTTTATTATTATTATTATTATTATTATTATTATTATTATTATTATTATTATTATGATTAGAGTAGTAGCAACAGCAGTAGCAATTGTAGTAGTAGTAGTAGTAGTAGTAGTAGTAGTAGTAGTAGTAGTAGTAGTAGTAGTAGTAGTAGTTGTAGTAGTAGTAGTAGTAGTAGTAGTAGTAGTAGTAGTAGTAGTAGTAGTAGTAGTAGTAGTAGTAGTAGTAGTAGTAGTTTTATTATATTACAAAAGGGAACACAACCGATCAAACAAATCCGAGTGACCTCATGACCTCTCGCTTCCATTCTTAAGCACCTCGACAAAGTCCTGGCTCTTGGTGAAGGTAACACAAACATACACACACACACACACTCACACACTCACACACACACACACACACACACACACACACACACACACACACACGCGCGCCGCGCGCGCGCACGCAAACACACACATACATACACACACACACACACACACACACACACACACACACACACACACACACACACACACACACACACAAAATCCAACTAACCTCGTGACCTCTCGCTCTCGTTCTTCAGCACCTCAACAAACTCCTGGCTCCTGATGAAGGTCACTGACTCCAGCGACAGTCGCATCACCTGGACCGACTTGGAGCCGATGCGAGACTGGGAGGGGGGGGGGCGACGAAATAATAATAATATTTTTATTAATAATAATAGTAATAATAATAATAATGGTAATAATGATAGTGATGGTTGGTTTTATCCACCGCTTTTACCCTTTTGGGTGTCGCGGAATAATGATAATAATGATAATAATGATAATAATGATAATAATGATAATGATAATAATGATAATAATAATAATAATAATAATAATAATAATAATAATAATAATAATAATAATAATAATAGTAATAACAACAACAACAACAACAATTATGCTCGATGTTGTGTACCGCACTGGTGGGTACATTGAGCACTTGTAAAACATTAAATACAAACTTGATCGTACAACACATGAGCCCAAAGTCCAAGCTAGAGATCTCTATTGTTTTTCATTTTTGAAATATAGCGTGATGAATTGGGAGTACTCTTTTTTTAAAATCGCCCTGTAGATTGCTGCTATACTAACTTTTATGTGCTAAAAACAGCTTGACATTGTGAACAACAATAATATTGTGGGGAGTCCTGGCGAAATTAGGTGTGTGTCAAATTTAGGGACTCAGGAAACCGATATTTTCCCACTATTTCACAATTTCAGCAATATTTATGGTTGCTTTTTGTGACTTTAGTTTTGGCCGGGGGGGGGGGGGGAGGGGGTGTATCTACATCATTTATGTTCATTTAAAACATATTCCTGTATGAGATTTCACTGAAGAACATTGATCAAATTCACAACAAATGTAAGCTTAGATATAATTTCGACTTTTACTCAGTATACATGGGTATTTCTTTCATTAAAGGCGAGTCATATGAACAGGCTTTAAGGTTACACAAGAAACTCCCTCTAAATAAGTGAACGAATGAATGAATGAATGAATAAATGAATAAATGAATAAATAAACTATAAACAAGCACATAAACACATAAATACATAAATACATATATATATATATATACATATATATATATATATATATATATATATATATATATATATATATATTTATATATATATATATATATATATATATACATACATAAATAGAATACATGAATACATAAGTACAAAAACACCTAAATACATAAATCCACAAATAGATAACACACAGAAATCCATTTATAAACATATAAAGAATGAAATATTTTTTTGCACCGAAATGCACCCCAGGGAAACAATGCTTTCTGAGTACCAAAGTGATGAGATTTGAATTGTTTACCAAAATCTAAATACATGTAGTGGCGGACTTCAGACCTTAAAAGCAGATTAACAAATCAATAATTCTGCTTCCCAAGCGATTTGCACTAACAAATATTTTTTTAAAAACCAACCCCCCCCCCCCCCCCAAAAAAAAAAAAACCCTCCAAAAAACAAAACAAATAACAGCCAACAACAAAACACAAGTCTGGGAACTGTGACTTTGATTAAATATTTTAGTTTTAGGAAAACAACGGGATATAACTTCGAAAATAAACAGTAAAATAATGTGAGGCGTGTTAACAAAATGGGTTACTTATCGCATTCCGCGTATGGAGATGTCCGAAAATCATCATCATCATCATCATCCAGTGCCAGGTCTGCGACAGACATCGGAAATCATGGATTTCCATTCATTCCTTTGCTCGGATGCTCTCAAAAAAGCTACGTTCCCTGATCTTTCCCTGTTACCCATTTGTTTAGGTTCCCTAAGTATGTTGTTCTGGGCCTACCCCTGCCTCGCGTGCACTCAATTTTGCCAGTGAGAGCTAGATGTTCAAGACCTTTATGTCTATTCAAGTGTCCCAAAAACTGCATTTGTCGTTTCCTGATTGTTTTTAACATTGAGCGTCCCACGTGGGCTTCATCAAGCACTACCTCATTTAATTTATTTTCCTTCCACGATACTCTTAGCAGTCTCCTAAGAAACCACATTTCTGTTGCTTCTATTTTATGTTCATTGTCTTTAGTGATTGTCCCGCATTCACAGCCATATAGAAATGTTGACCAAACATAGCATTTCAGGACTTTCATTTTGGTGTTCATTGAGATGTTTCTATTTTTCAGGATCGGGCTCATTTTTATTGAAACTAGCCTTAGCCATTGTAATTCTCCATTTTATTTCTGTGGAACATTTGGCGTCAGATGTTATCATATGTCCTAGATATTTAAACTGTTGGACTTGTTTGATCTTTTCACCTTTGCTTATGAGATTACAACTAGGGTTTGCTGCTTTTTGTGGATATTACCATGCATTCTGTTTTCTTTACAGTCAACAATAATCCTTTACGTTCACTTTCTGTCCGAAAATAGAGACATCAAATGTTGTAGAGTTCAAACTGACACCTTTTTTCATACGGTATACGCGTCTTTTATCATGTAATGTAATAAACTGTTCAAACCCAACCAATATATTTCTTGTATATTTCTGTGTTCTAAGGGCTGAAATCAGAAGATTTTACTCATTTTGTCAGCACACCTCCCAAATAATGAAGTTGGCCTACTTTATAGCTTTTTCGTGTCTTTTCGTTTTAGTCTTGTGTGTTGCAGTTGTCTTTTTTTCTACCATTTATTCTTTTTCTTCACCCAGGCTCTTATTCTGTTTCTGTCACTCTCTAATGCCCCTCCCCCTCTCTTTCTCTCTCTCTCTCTCTCTCTCTCTCTCTCTCTCTCTCTCTCTCTCTCTCTCTCTCTCTCTCTCTCTCTCACACACACACACACAAATACACACACACACACACACACACACACACACACACACACACATTTTTTTCTTTTTCTCTAGCTCTTTCTTTTTACCACTCCACTGACCCACCCCCAAAAATCAAAATCAAAACTAACGAAACACAAACAAACAAGTGAAAAGATCAGATAGGGACGAGATGGAAAAAGAGGCAACTCAAAAGAAAAAATTAAATACCTCAAACTCTGTAAGAGTCTCCTGCCAAACGGGCGTTGTCATGGTAACCAAAGTGACACGCGGCCATTTGTAGTGAGCAATCACTTCCGCAAAGAAGGCCTCCATGTCTTTGAATGTTGGTGTGGTACGTCCAAAAGTTGGGAACTGGAAAGAGATGGAACAAAATTACACGAGAAACAAAATTAAATGAGGTAGGAACAAAATTAGATGAGGAGAAAAATTAGATGCCCGTCTAGTTTTTATTTATTTTGTTTTTCTTTTTATAAATAATTATTTAAAGGGTAGTTCAGTGCAGATTATGCTTACTTTATTAGTGGATAGAATCGATATATCTCCAAATGATTGAAGGTGGCAGGGAGAGTGAGCAAAAGAGATAAGGGAGAGGGAGTCTGTACCTTCTTTTCTTTGGGGGAAGATGGGGGTGGGGTGGGGGTAGAAATAGGGGATAAAGAGAGAGGAAGAAGAGAAGCAGGAAATTAAAAGGAGAATCTGTACGCTCATACACATAGACACAAAATACACACGCACACAAACACACACACACACACACACACACACACACACACACACACACACAGAGAGAGAGAGAGAGAGAGAGAGAGAGAGAGAGAGAGAGAGGGAGAGAGAGAGAGAGAGAGAGAGAGAGAGAGAGAGAGAGAGAGAGAGAGAGAGAGAGAGAGAGAGAGAGAGAGAGAGAACCAGAGTGATTGTGAGAGAACGATGAAGAGAGATGAGTGTAGAGAGGAACAAAGATTAAGAAGAGGATAGCTAGATAGATAGATAGATAGATAGATAGATAGATAGATAGATAGATAGATAGATAGATAGATAGATAGATAGATAGATAGATAGATAGATAGATAGATAGATAGATAGATAGATAGATAGATAGACACAGCAAGAGATAGAGAGAAACAAGGGGGTATTGAGAGAGAGTGAGAGAGTGTGAATGAGGGAGAGATAGAGACAGAGAGAGAGAAAGAGGGAGAGAGAGAGAGTGAGAGAGAGCGAGAGACAGACAGATAGAGAGAGAGACAAAGAGAGAGAGAGAACCAGACTTTAACAAAATATTTCACAAACTCAATTAAACGCAACCAGAGAAGTGCATGGCTTGAACAAGCAGATTATGGGAAGAGCGGACGATATTTGAGAGGCTTTTGTTTATCGATATCTTATATCTCCTAAGCGTTTCATTTTCATTATATTATAGCCACAAAATTACAGAGAAATCGAATAAACTCCAGCAATTTTTAGTTTCACATTCATCGCATTATTTACTTTATTCGTTCGGTCCCTCTTTCTTTAATTCGTCACATTTCTCTTTATTCTCTAGTGTTATACACTCCCCCCCCTCTCTCTCTCTCTCTCTCTCTCTCTCTCTCTCTCTCTCTCTCTCTCTCTCTCTCTCTCTCTCTCTCTGTCTCTGTCTCTCTTTCTTGTGTTCGTGTACGCGCGAGCGCGACAGAACATTTTTAGGGAGCAGGAAGGGAGTGAAAAAAGTAGAAAAGTGTCCATCGCTATCCGGATTCGAACACGGGACCTATTGAATGAGACGCGGAGACCTTAACCTCTCAACCACGAGAGCCCCCTTTCTCCTATGAGCTATCGGTTTTTTTTTCTATTTGTTTTTCTTCAAGTCTGTCTTTATTCTTTAGTGCACCTTTTCTTTTGTTTTGGTTGGTTTGTAGCTCTGTTTTTCTTTCTTTGGAGAGAGTTGGTGATAGGTGAGGTGTAGCAATATACCGAATACAGTTTTTAAAAATTACAAATTAATAAAACATACAAAAGAATAGAAAGAAATTCTAACGCAGTGTTCACGCAAGCTTCACGGTCTGGGATTTGTTTTCTGTATTGTTTAGTGGGGTGGGTTGTGGTCTCCTTCCTTAAAATATTTCCTTTTGAAAAAAATTGAGAAACCACTCCTTGCATTAAGACTTTATATCAACTAGTTTGTGAATTTGTCTTTTAGATTTCGTCTCCATTCTTTTGATATGCAATGCATCCCCATTCCAACAATGTTAATACACTCTAATACAAGGGCGAACACACTTTTACGTTTTTTTTATTTCACAGAATGCTGTCAAGCCCGATTTTTAAAGGTTAATCTTAAATAATGACTATATTTCGGGTGACCCTGACCGTAAAGGAAAAAATAATGTGTCAGATGACGCAGGTTTATTGAGCTTTGAATTAGCCTGTTGCATCCGTGGGTAGTGCAAGACTTAAGCGCGTACGACGGTTGGGTGAATACGTTTTCAAGTTTATTTAGGACTATACTTGAGGCAGCGTGGTGTAATCAGGCTCTCGTTAATATTTGGGCACATCGAGTTATTGGTATGATCTTAAAGCTTGTTCACTTGTCTTTTTTTGGATTTAAAAATATCCCTTTATCTTAAATACAAGTTCAGATATTTGAGAATGAAGGAGGCGGGGGTCACCTGTCTTTAGAGGTAAAATTAGTGAGAAAATGGCCGCCAAAGAGTAGTTATTTCCTTAGCTTATGAGTTCGTGGTAACTGAAAATTTAGATCTTATGTGCCTTCAATCAACGTTTTTCAGAAAAATCCACACAGAAATGAGTTCTAAATGGGCATGAAAGGTGTTGAGCCCAAAAACAAAAATTTGATAAAATTTCACAAACTAACGGAAATGCAAGTTTCTTCACTTTGATTATTTTGAAGAGAGCCTGATTCCACCACGCTGCCTTACAACGCTATGTGTATATAATACGTATCTACACCAATCGTAACCCGATTCTATCTCATACCGGGTGCCCATTGGCACGATTGGGTCGTGTCTGGTCGCTTTGCTAACCAGATTGAGTGCGCAAAGCGGCTATCGTGGCACAAACCGATCGCCCGACTCAAGGCATCCAAAATAAAATTCCGGTCGGCATCCTCGGCTGGACTTGTCACCTAAAAAAAACCAAACGCGTTTTTTTTTTCATTCAGGCGACAAGTCTGGTGATCGACCCAACCCGACCCGACCCGACCCGCAATGGGCACCTCGGTATTAGCTTACCTCCTCCTCCATGGCGCTCATATGACCTTATGCAGTTGCGAGCGCCGTAACACCTCTACTATAACTAAAACTTACCTCCTCCTTGTCATCAAAGATGGAGCTCTCGCAGCCGTAAGAGATCATGAGTACGTCATAGTATCTGGCCAGTCTACCTCCAGGCTGGCACACTTCGTCACAGCTGGGGCCTGTGAAGGAAAAGAAAAAGAGGTGACACTTTAGTTTTGTTAGTTAGTTATAGTAGAGGTTTTACGGCGCTCGCAACTGCATAAGGTCATATGAGCGCCAGAAGATTAGAGGTGTTACAAGAGAGTAACAAACAAAAAAGAAGAAGGGGAGACAAGGACGATAGATGTTTGATAGGAAAGAAGAAGCAAACCACACCAGAGCACCTGCCAACCTTTAGTTTAGACAAAGATCGTGTATAACAAGATAGTTCACTTCTGTCTTTGAGGCCAATTTTTTTTTTTAAAAGGTGTCCTCAAAATTGGGTGGTGCCCTCTTTGAAAAAGAGCGGAATTTGCGAACAGAGTTACCCTACTAGTGTAAAAAACAATAAAAGTGAAACTGACAAGCTGTGCTTTTCCTGTTCTTCTTCTGGAGAAACGAAAAAGATCTTCAAAACAAAGACTACAGTGCCATCTGAACCAATGCGCGGACTTTCGCGGACACTTTTTTGGCTGAGTGAACAATCTTGTTATGTACGATTTTTGGTTTAAGAAAGAGTTTTAAGACACTTTCCTTGCAAAACAATAAGGTCTTATAAGAGGGGAAGGTTAGAGGTTTTCTCTTTCTCTCTCTCTCTCTGCCTCTCTCTCTCTCTCTCTCTCTCTCTCTCTCTCTCTCTCTCTCTCTCTCTCTTCCACACATATACCCACGTACACCAAATACACATACGCTCACTCACACACACAAACATCCTGCTTCCTACAAATTGGCACACACTAAGACACACTTACTCACTCACACACACACACTCAAGCACGTATACACATAATACAAACACCCCGCTTCCTACTGATACACACGCACACACAAACAAACAAACAAACAAACAAACACGCACATACAAGCACACAAATACATAAATATATTTTCCCCTACCATTTACCTGCCCACTCCCCTAAAACAAAACAAAAAAACAGACCAAAAAAACAACACAAAAAACTAACCAAAAAGCAACCACCCACCCCCCAAACAACAACCCCAAAACAAAAAAACAACATGCCAAAACTACTCACCAACAAAAGCGTCCTGCGCCAAACCATGCAGATGCTCCCCACTGCGGGAGAAAATATCCAACATAGCGGCGAAGGCGTCCGAGGGGTCACAGGGTACATCGTCCAAGAGATACTGAAAGACGTAGTCCTGGTCCGTGATGGCGGAGTATTGGGGCGAATCGTTGATGCGCTGAGGGGGAAAAAACATTTTAAATAAAAAATTACATATTTTTTATTGCTCCCAGAAGGGCAATTTGGTTTACTATGGCATGTATACATACGTTCATAGGTATATAACGTACGTACGTAACGTACGTACGTACGTATATATACGTAGGTCTACATATCAGTCAAACTCTTATTCATTTTATTAAGAGTTTTACGGCACTTGCAACCCAAGAAGGTCATAAAATGTGCCGAAAAATAGATGTGTTACAAGAGAGTAACATACACAAAAAAGAAGGAGGAAAGATTAAAACGATAGATGTTTGATAGGAAAGAAGGAGCAAACCACACCAGCGCACCCGCTAGCTACGCACAATTTAAAACAAAACAAAACAACATTTTATTGATCCCAAAAGGGCAGTTTGATTTACAATGGCATACATACAAACGTACATACGTATATAACGTTACGTACGTACGTACGTACGTACGTACGTACGTACATACGTACATGCATATGTACATACATATACTCGTACATACAAATATACATACATACGTACACAAATACAAACGTACATACGTACATGCATCCATGCATCCATGCATCCATGCATCCATGCATCCATGCATCCATGCATCCATACATCCATCCATACATACATACATACATCCATACATCCATACATACATACATACATACATACATACATACATACGTACATACATC